ATATATATATATATATATATATATATATATATATATATATATATATATATATATATATATATATATATATATATATGGCCAAGTAAGAGTTCTTTATTTTAAGTCTTGGCAAAGGGCAGGCTCATGCTTAAAAACAACAACAACAGCAACAACAACAACAAACCTCTCTGCCCAAAGAATGGCACTGTAGGGTTTATAAAACATCTATCTACAATTACATCATAGTAGAGTAGAGGTCAAAACCTTCAGAAGTTTTGTCTAAGTTGTTTAAAACAATTTCCTTTATGTTTTAAAACAATAGATCCCAGAAAAATGTTGGTGCTCAGCAAGATGTGCTCAGCAAGGGGTTATGGGCAATTGGATGAAGACAGTTAAAAGTAGGACAAAATGGAATGACTTTGACCAGTTTAGTTGTAAGAGCCTGAATAGCAGGAAGTCTGTTATGAGACTGCTTCTCTTAGAAATGCCTGTGTAAATAAGATCTGAAGAGTGGCATTATCAATAAACACAGCAATGCAGAAGGGGAAACCTGGACAAGTATCTATAGGTAAATGATGACTTCTAAGAGAAACAGAGTTAGCCTTCTCTATGGATAAACCTACTAATTCCTTATCCAATACAAAGTGGTCAACCCTGAAACTATATACATGATAATAATGGCTTCCGTGGGTCATAGTTATATATTTGTAGACATATGTGTGTATGTATAACAAGAAAAGTCACGGAAGAAGAGGTTGCAAATTTAAGAGTATTATGAAGGAGGAGGGGAGCCAGGTATGGTGGTGCATGCCTTTAATCCCAAACACCTTGGATTACCAATGTAAGAAAAGTCTGTTTGTTTCACAGCTTTAAAGGGTTGAATTCACAGAAGCTGACCCAGTGGGTTTTGGTACTGTACGGTACCATTATGGTGAGAGAATATCAGAGAAAGCACAGTTATCTTTGGCTCAGTGTAAATATAAAGGAACAAAAGAAGAGCCCAGAATCCTAATATTCCCTTTGAGGGCAAAACCTACTGACCACAACACCTTCCATGAAGCCATATTTCGTTTTTTTTTTTTTAATTACACTTTATTCACGTTGTATCCTCCCATAAGTCCCTCCTTCCTCCCCTCCCGGCCCCACCCTTCCTTCTTCTTCACGCATGTGCCATATTTCTTTTTAAAATTATTACTACTTATTACAATTTATTCACTTTGTATTCTAACTGTAACCCCTTCCCTCATCTCCTCCTGGTCCCACCCTCCTCCCTCTTCCCCGACTATGTCTCTTCCCTAGTCCACTGATAGGGGAGTCTGACTCTAGCCTGTCAGGTCTCATCAGGACTGTCTGGATTCTCTTTCTCTATGGCCCAGTAAGGCCTCCTCACCAGGGGAAGGTGATCAAAGAGCAGGCAACAGAGTTCATGCCAGAGACTCCCCTTGCTTTCCTTACTAGGGGAACCCCATGGAGACTGAACTGCCCATGGGATATCTCTGAGCAGGGTGTCTAGGTCCTCTCCAATTATGATCCTTGGTTGATTTATCAGTTTCTACAGGCCTCCCTTGGCCCAGATTTTTTTTTGGCTCTGTTGACCTCCTTGTGGATCTCCTGTTCCCTACAGGTCTTTCTATCTCTACAGTCTTCCAAAAGATTCCCTGCACTCTGCCCAAAGTTTGGCTATGAGTCTCAGCATGTGCTTCAATACCCTGAAGAGTAGAGTCTTTCAGAGGCCCTCTGTGGTAGGCTCCTGTCTTGTTCTCTCTCTTCTCACAGTTCTGATGTCTATTCAGAACATTGGATTTTCCTTATAGAAATTTCTATATACTTGCTTTATGGACTATCATGTGAACTTCTCTGAAATGTTTTACTTGTATGTAGGGTTCCAGGTCAAATAAGTCCATTTGTTATATATCTATATATAATATATAAAATCATATTTACATATGCATGCATATGTATTTAAATGATATCTCAGGCTGTCCTTGAACTCCTGAGCTAAAGTGATTCTTTTTCTTTAGTCTCCCAAGTATCTAGGACTACAGGCATGTGATAGCCTGTCTGCTTTTTTTCTTTTATTGTTTAAACCTTTCTCATGCAATGAACTATTGTCTGATATATTTATTGTTATTTAATAGGATATGTTGATATTTCACCCACATTATGTATTTGTCCACTTATTTTTTTCTCCAGTCAATTTTATCTTTACATAATGATATTCATGTAAAGACAGATTTTAAAACTGCTTTCTTGCTTAATTGAATTTTTTCTGAGACGATTTCTCTGTGTAGCCTTGGCTGTCCTGGACTTGCTTTGTAGACCAGGCCAGTCTCAAACTCACAGAGATTCCCCCTACCTCAGCCTCCTGAGTGTTGGGATTACAGGCATGTGCCACCATGCTTGGCTCCTCATTGAATCACTATGTAATGTCATTTATTCTTCTGTTTCATCCATCTCCCCTTTCTCTCCTGTTTGATACAGTATTTCATGTATCCTCAGCTGATCTTGAACATATTTATGTATGCAAGGATGTCCTGGAACTTTTGACTCTTCTTCTTCCATTCTTCTTTTTAGCATTCTCTTGAATGCTGGGATTACAAGCAAATGCCATCACCTTCAGTCTATGCAGTACTGGCTGGGGAACCTAGAGCCCTTATGCATGTGAAGGAGGAGCTACACCCTCATCCCATAGAACTTCTTTCTTTTAAATGTATTTTTTCTTTTTCTAATACAAACCTGAATTTAGATAGTACAAATATGATATGTATTTCATTTAAAGACATTATAATATATAGTTATTATTAACTATAGCTACTCTACTGTGTAGTTAAACATTAGAAATCAGTAGAAACATGGCTCAGTAGTTAAGAACACTTGCAGAGCAATCCTGGAAAATGGTGCTCTAGTCCTAACATTCATTTATCAAGACAGGCTTCTTGCAAACTGGAAGTGCAATTCTGAGGGGTCCAATGTCCCTTCTATGCCTCTGTGCACTCATGGAAGTGCCTGGGCATACATGTGTGCATATACTCGCATAGACAAACAGATACACACAACACGCACACACACATGAATCTTAAGAAAATAATACTAGAAGTTACTCCTTCTATCCTAATGGATATTCTATCTTGTACACATGAATTATTCTTTTTTCATCTCCCCTTCTCTGGCTTCCAATCTCTGGTAATCACATCATACTTTATATTTTTATGAGTTCAACCTTTTGTGTCTTGACATGTAAGTGAGACTATTTTGCCTTTCTTATTTTAAACTTTCGTATATAATTAAATTTTATGCGTTTAAAAGAACATTTGACACAATCATTTCTTTCATTTGTTCTCAGAGAGCATCTCAACTTGTAGATCGGCCTAGCCTTGAACTCATTAAGTAGCTAAAGCTGGACTTGCATTCCTGATTCTCTTGCCTCTGGTGAATTTCAGACATGTTCCACCATGCCTGGCTGATAGATTTTTAAAAATGTAACCAGGCTCTGTGTACCTTTTAATTTGGAAATATTTAATCTACTTTTAATGAAATAGGTATAATTTGTCCAAATATACTATTTTCTATACATTTATTTTTACCTGTCCTCAGACAATACATGAACCTTGCAACACTATGATTCCATTTACCTTCACCTGCATTTTTATTATGTCTGAGATATGCTTACCACATCCCCTTTAATATTTTACCTTCTCTTTTTCTAGTCATCATTATAATATATATCCAAGATATGCATATATGCCCCAGAAGAATTATTGTATTATATACTAAGTACTCAGATTTGCCTACAAATTTATCAGTGTCATTGACTTTTCTTTACTGCACAGAATATTGTATGTAGACCAGTTTAACCTTGAATTTGTGGTAATCTTCTTTTCTCTGCCTGCTAGGAGCTGGTATTATGTGTGTGCTGCCAGACTCCAAAGGGATATTTCTGTTTTTTAAACATCTGCATCCATCCATCCATCCATCCATCCATCCATCCATCCATCCATCCACTGTATGTGTGTGGGTGCATGTTTGGAGTTCTCAGGCCAACATGAGGAAAACAGTTCTCTTCCCCCACAATGTGGGTCTAGGGAATTGAACTCCAGTCATCAGACTGAGCCATCTCCCCAGCCTGTTTCTATTTAGTTTAACTTTTGAAGATTTATTTTATTTTATGTGTATGAGTGTTTTGCTTGCTTGTATTCATGTGCACCATATGCGTGCTTGATGCTAGTCATGTCAGGAGAAGACAGCAGATGTCCGAAACTGGAGTTACAGATAGCTTTGACCCAACATGTGAGTGCTGGGAAACGAACTCCTGTCTACCACAAGAATAGCAAGTCCTCTAAACTGCTGAGCCATCTCTTTTTCTCAATGTACATGTTTCTTTTATTAATGATTTTATTTGAACTTGACACATTTCTTTTAATTTGGAAACTTCTTAACTAAGATCTGTTAAATATGTTTACCATACTTTCTTTAACTTCTTCTCTTTCGTTTTTTAGTCTTCATGATAATATACAAGCAAGACACAACCTGTATATTTTGTTCTGCTTTATGTACCACCTGTCTAGGTCTTATTTCAGGCAGGGAGTTTGTCTTTGATCCTTGATCCATTAAAAAAATCATTCTAAAGATAATTTTTGTTATTCTTCAAACAGAAGAGAGTCAAAATTGAGAAATGAAACACAATTTGTCTCAGATCACTCAGCCTAAGAAGGGCAGAATGGTCAGTAACATAACAGACCAATTATTCAACCCAAACCTTTACTGTTCTGTTTGTTTTCTCCTTAGCTATGAATGTTCTCTGCCTCTCATCTCCCAGGAAGTGGAAGCACAGTGAAATCTTTTAATATTTTTCACACTGCTTACAGGTTTTTTGGGGGTTGTTAACAAATCATGACCTTCATTAGCCATTACATTTTTACAAGATTTTTTTTTGGTATTGTGTGTTGATATATTGATTTTAATTTAAAGGCACAGTTTCCAAACTAACCCTTTTCAAAGATGAGTGAGATGCCAGCATATGTTCCAAAGGAGGTTGATTCCTCAACTCGAGTGAACACACCAGTGACATGATGCATACTTCATTTTATCAGCAGCAATGAGTAATTATTCCATGCATACTCAAAGAAGATAGTAAGTGACCAGTCAGCATGCCTGAAATATACAAGCCCGTGAATTGCACATGTTTGAATTGCACAAGGGTTTCAGCAAACTTTTTGAAGCCCTCTTACAGTTTTGCTAAAGCTGTATATGTGTATTGGGGAAGGTTGTTGTTAAAATGTCTTTGGGGTCCTTTTTAAAGAAGAAAGCTAGGTCTGTCATAGGTAATATTTCTTATTATGGCTTTATAAATGAAATAATAATAATATAATATAAAAAATCAGGGAAATAATAAAAAGGAAGTTAATTAATTAAAACTTTAAAAAGTTTATTTAAATATATGAAGTTTATTATTGGAAAAAAAGCATCTGAATGAAAGAAAAGGAGATTTAGGAAATCTCCAAGTGATGTATCTTTTTTTTCAAGACAGGGTTTCTCTGTGTAGCCTTGGCTGTCTTGGACTCACTTTGTGGACCAGGCTGGCCTTAAACTCATAGAGTGAGTTCACTGTGTGCCTTCCAGAGTGCTGGGATTACAGGTGTGGAGCACCACTCCAGGCTGAAATTTGTCCTACCTTTAAATATTGCTTCAAAACTTATATTTATGGCTTTCTTTAAGTAAAATTAACAGATAATAAGTCACATGCATTTGTAGTATGCAACTTATCAATAGTTGACTGCACATTTCTGAACCATCATCCCATTCAACATGCCCGTCAAACACACTGAGGACCCTTATCTCCCTTTATAACTGTTCTCTTCCAGTCTTTCCACCTTAGTATTTCTTCAAGCAACCATTGGTTAGTTTTCTACCACAACAGATTTGTTTGCATTTTTTAGAATCTTATGTAAACAGACTCATGTAATATGTTATGGCAAGAATATTTTTGTCTGATTAAGTCTAAATTTATATTCCAATCTGCCAATCTTTTCTCTCATCCTTTCTTGTTTGAGCATAGATTCCCTTTGGCATAAAGCATACTAGCTGCTGAATTTGCTTCAGAGCCAATGCGGCATCCCTTTCAATCTGGTGGAGGGAAAAGATGACATGATGGAGGACAAGAGGAAACTGGACAGATGAAGGGCTCTATTTACTTGCCTTAATTCTATTTATCTCACCCATATCCATGTAGATTCACTATGAAAACATGCAGGCCCAGTTTTTTTTTTTTTTTTGTTGTTGTTGTTGAGAATTCCAACATTGCCTTTTAACTGATGGATATCAGTGACATGATTTGTGATGAGAGTGATAATAAGGTATGTGTCAAGAGCGTGACTGTGACAAATTGCAAGCCATGGGTTTCTCAGTTCTCAGTGCCAACTCAGACCCTCATGCATTCACTGCAGATATCAATCTTCATCAGCCCCTGTGATGAACCCCTCTCAGTGACAGAGCACAAGTCAGAAAAGATGGATCAGAGAAAGGTAATGTAAACTTGTACACCCAGAGATGGAATTTGTTTTTCCCCATCTGTTGTCCCTTTTATCACTTCAGCCTCAGAGTTACAGAAATTGATCTGTGATTCTGCAGCTATGAACCTGCAGAACACTACCTCTCAGCAAGTTCCTAATATGCAGAGACTCCCCTTTGACCAAGGTATGACTGACAGAAGTAAATCTAGAGGAAATGAAGGGAGAAATGTCTAGCTGGTTTGGGAATTTAGGAATTGTCAATTGAGGAGGGGTGGGTTCTGGCACTGTATCAGCTGTGTGACCCCTCAGTCTTCTGATTATCTGTTCTTGCTTCCTGAAGATTTGATGACCCATTCTACTGACTTGGTACTGATTCCTAGAAGGTATATGGTGCCTTCCCTGAATATCCATGAAGAGGACATGATTCAGGTAATACCTTACTCTTGTTGATGTTTTTGAGGGTAAGACTGGGAGAGATTAGCTAGTAGTTAGATTGGTCTCAAGTATTGCCTCTTGTATCATTTGCTTTATTTTTTCCCCTCACCACAGCTTCTGCTTTTGAGCTAGAGGTACAACAAATCCTATCAGTTGTTTGGCTTGCTTGATATTGTGTCAATGGCCTCTATCATTGACAAGCTGAATGTCTATAGTAATGAAGTGAGGTATAATACTGAGATCTTTGTTTTGAGAGAAAGTAGAAGTGATCATCAGAGTGTTGACAGTAGGCAGGGAAGTGGGTTTATGGATAAGAGAACAAGGGAAAGAGCTGGGGTTGTAGAAATCTTCTGTTTCTATTCTCTAGTTTCATACATTTATTTCCATAATTTCAGATCAAGTCAGAAGGGGAGATGTCCAGGGGACAAGACCCAAATCCAGAAAAGAGATGTGCAGATAAAAGCTCTCTGAGTACTACAATCCCGGATAATTCCAGTAACATAAAGTCAGTTGTATCTGCAGGAGGAGTAGCTCTGATCCTCTGAGGGGACCTCAGACCTCATCCTCCCCTCTGTACCTTGAGCTGTCCCCACAGTCCTCTTTTCCTTCTGACCTCTCCTCTTTTCACTTAATCTGGGTTGTGATTCTTATGTCTGAGCACTTAGCCTCCTCCAGCCTGCGCTCCTGTGCCTCGGAAAGATAGCACTGGACTTCTCCCCAACCTCTTTTTTCTTTCTCCTATAAAGTCCCTTCATCTGTCCCATGCTGCCCTGAAGGCTTTGTTACCCTAGGATGAGGTTAAGGGTTCTGGATGATGGTAACAATACTTACTCTGGGCCATTGTTGGGGCTTATCTCTCTTTGGAAGGAAATATGGCTTCTCTGAATTACAGATCTAGAAGTGGGAAAATAGCAGGAAACAGAGGACTTCCTGGAGCAAGAGGGATGTGCAGAGAACCAAAGAAGACTCCATGTCTGTCTTCTTTCTTTTTTTTATCTACCAACCTACTTACCTACATTACTTATAATCAATCCTACCTAATGTGAAAGAGGATCCTTGCTTAGCCTGAGATAAGAAAATTCATTCCTTGAATTAATCCCCCACACAGACTTAGACAAATAGAAAGGAACCTTCTGGGAAGAACATAGTGACCATAATAGACAGCTGCTTCTAGGGAATGTCTCCCTCCCTCAAAGATGCTCAGAGTTCCCAGAGTGAGCCTAGAATAGGAAAAATATTAGCCTGCATTCAGTGGTACCCAATACTGTAAAGTCCTTGAGTTTGTTCTTGCTTTGGGTCCCAAGACTGGGGGGGGAGGGTCGAGTGAAGGAAAGGAGTACTGAAGAGTAGCACTTTTCTCCTGTATTACCTGTGACATCTGACCTTTAGCATCAGGCCAGACATATCTTCCATTCCCTTTGTGTAGGTTCCTTTTGTCCTTTGCATATACCCTCTTATGTCTCCCTCACAACTCCCTCACCTACCTTCATTCACCATCCCCTGACTTCATTATACTGAATCCTGAAACATGCTATCCCCCTCCTTCCCCAGAATCTCTAGAATGGTGGACACTAACAAGTCCTGGGCTCCATGCCACACCTTGCTCACTGCAAAGCCTCCTGTGGAAACTCTGAGGAGGAGAAAAGATTCCTCGGAGCCTGGCTCCTCCAGTGTAGCTTCCTGTGATGTGAGCCTGGAAAAAGGGATTAGATCAGTGTGTGTAGGAGCTACACAACAGGAAGAGAGAACAGAGAGCAGCAGGGAGAGACAAACCTCTTTATATCAGGTCATTCCACAAGGGAAGTATTTTTACTTTCAATTATATTTGCATGGTTTTATCTGTGTTCCTATATTTATATTTCAACAGATGGATGAATGCAAAAAAGTTAATGTGCTAAGCAGAAATGCTGTCTAACATATAGTAATGGGATGCCATGTAATGTTTGTATACACACATATACTGTGTAATTCTTAATCAGGTTACTTTTTTCTTGGTAGTTCGATTCTGGAATTGTTCCCCAAGTTATTAAGGCTGGTAAGTGTGCTCCTTGGTTACTGGTTTCTCTGCCTGGGACTGACACTATATCCAATCTGTTCTGAAAGCTAATAGGTCTGGCTTAAGTTAAATTTTTTGGAGCTGTCCCTTCAGCCTCAAAGAGATGGGGAGAAGTGATTCAGATTCACAGGGGAATTTGCCAAAGGCAAGTCATGATCCCTTCTTCCAGTGACATTTCTGGGCCCCTTTTTATATCTGACCTCTGATCTCACCCAGTTTGTAAACCCATCCCTCTCTTTCATTATCCAGCATCACCTTCAAGCTCTGCATTTCTTCCCTTGCCTCACACAGGGTGGACAGGAATCTCCTAAACCAACTCCTGGTGGTCTTGAAGACTTTAAGACCTTACCAACTTGCAAGGTGAGGAGAGCGGTTTTAATTTGGGAGTAAGAATGGCTGAGCACCTACATCCTGTTCACTTTTATTTCAGGAAAGTTTCTTTGCATCTGAGGATATAAAAAGTCTGGTCCTACAGATCCTGCAGCAGTAAGTACCCTTGGGAGTCTGACAAAGGGGAGAAATTGGGGAGGTAAGGATATAAATGTATAGCTCTGGTTGTTGAAAATTTGAAATCTCACTCAGGGCCCAAACCAATGAGATTGTCCCATTCAAGCATCTCTCCCCAACAGGTGTTACTTCATCTATGACAATGGAGGTTGGCAGGGACTCCTCAATGCTTACCATGCTGAGGCTTGCTTCTCATTGACAGTCCTCTTCAGTTCTGTGGAGTCAGCCATGTGAGTAGCACAATCAGCTCGAACTCTGACCTAGAGCACTGCACTGTGTTCTCCAGAAGATACAGGCAATCCCTTGGAACCATCCCACTGGCTGGACCACCATATCTGTTTCCTCCTTTCTCCTAGGAAAAAAGCTTGTGTGAGTACTTCATGTATAGCAGATATATGAAGATCCTCAAGGATCCTTGTAAGTGTGTGGTGGGTAAGATGTGGAATAGAAGGCACAATCAGAGATTCCAGAGGTTAAGGCTCCTATTGTGGCCCTCCCCATTCTTGCCACATTTTCTTGACTCCAAATCAATAGCTAGCTGTCTGTTCCTGGACCCTTTAGTTCATGAATCTGACTGGGAAATGAATGCTGTCTGAGTATGTAAAGCATGTACAACTCCAAGAACACATATCTTTCTGTCAACTCCTTTACAGATATCTGGATCATAAGAAATGTGACATTCTTCACTTCCTTCGTGCATTGCCCAAAACTCAGCATGACCTCACCTCCTTTGTGGTGGACCTATGTTTCCAAACAGTAGATACCTGCTCCTTCCATGGAACATATCTCATACTTAGAAAGGTAATGGTGAGTAGAAAGTTAAGCAGGACCCTGAGCTCATGCTGTGTTTCCCTTTCAGGAAAGATGATCTGCTTCTCTGTTAGTGGGCTGTTCAAGGAAGGTGTCTGTAGAACCCTCTTCCAGATCCCTTCTTGCTTCCTTACTTGGATGTGCATCTCTGAGCACACATGTTGTAGGGTTTGTTGGCTCTCATTCCAGATCCTTACTCTGTGTCTTTGGGCCAGTTGCTTAACCTCTGCATTTCCCCATTTGAAAATGGTGTTAAATGATACCCCACCCCAAGATAGATGTGAAACATCCTTAGTAAACATTGGAAGTTATTTTTCATAAGGTCCAGAATGTGGCAGGAGACCCATCAATAAAAGTGGATTATTCCCCTTGTTGCCTGGCCCTCTCCCTGTTCCCACCACAGATACCTGACTCCAAGACAATCATTGACTGTACTTGGGCCCTTTCAGTGTAAGACCCTGACTGAGGAATGTTCTGTGAGGGTGCAAAATATGTGTAACTCTAAGGATGCTTTACTGTTTCTTGTCCTTGAAGTGGAGAGCAGCTCTTAATGATGAGTTCATGCCTTCACTCAGACCTTCGTTGTTACATATGGCAATGGTTCAGAGTAAGTGCTGTGTTGTGGATGGACACTCTCATCCCATCCTGGCACCAGCAGTGTGACAACGTTGTGGTGCATTTCTAGAGGTGCTACCAATATTGTGGAAGGTCAACAGGTAGATTCAAGGAGTAGGTTAATGTAGTGATTAACAGTGTAAACTTTGGGGTCAAACTACCAGGCTCTTTCTTGTAGTACTAACTTGTTCTGTGAATTTGGTCATCACATTGCCTATTTGTAACTGTCTTCTAAAAATATTGATTATATTGTCCACACTTTTTAGCTGATAAAAGGCTAAATGAGAATGTAAAACTCCTCTCTCTCTCCTTCTCTCTCTCTTTCCCTCTTTCTCTCCCTCTCTCTTTTTTTGAGACAAAATTTCTCTGTGTAACCCTGTCTGGCCTGGAACTCCTATGTAGAACAGACTGGCCTTGAACTCGGAGATCTGCATGCTTCTGCCTCTTAAGTGCTTGGATTAATGTCATACACCACCACCGCCTGACTAAACCATTCTTTAATTAAAGCAAAACCTATCATCCTAGTGATATAGACAGTCTTCAACAATGTTTTCACTGTCTGGGAGTATTACAGATAACCAGGCAAGAAAAGCAGGACAAATAAGAGATATCAGAACAATTTGGTTGCTGAACAGTGAGAGCATGACAGCTGTTGGGAAGTATACTTTTGTCTGTTTTTCCATAATCTGAATTTTTTTCATCCAGCCTTTGTATCATCAGTAACAAGCTATTTGTGAGGAATGTTCAAGGATTTTCCAATGCCTCCGTCCTTGTGACCACATCTTCCTCCAGCTATTTGCCTTCCTTCTCTCAAGATTAACAGGATATGGTACAAACATTCTATTTGCAGTCTTGAGTGAATGCTGAAAGATCTCAGAAGTGAGTCTTGGACATACATGGTGATGTGGGCTGAGGTAGGGGTAGGAGAGTAAGTTGTGGAACATACAGGTTTCACTTCTTTATTTCATTTATTATCTTACTGAACAGTTTCTTCTCAGTAAACAGTAAGCTAAATAGCCATTTAAAATAGGTATTTCAGCATTCCCTGAAATTCATGGACCTTGTTCATTTAATGAGAGACATTCGGATTTTCAGGGATTTGCTCATATTATGACACAAGGGTCATTTTGCTGAATATCTTGAAATATATGTAGAGGCATGTTTCTGCTGCATAGATCAGGAAATGTCTTTGTGTTTGTCAGTATATTTCTTCTTATGTCTTAATGGATGTTTTCTGGCCATCCTCTAACACAGGTGCTTTCATGATGACCAGTGGAATTACAACAGAGCTATACAAATCCTCACTTTATTCAAGGTGATGTTTGGAGATTCAATTCAGGATAGAAAAGCCAGATGGCCTGGAAATGGTGCTAGGATTCTTGTATCTGCTGATCTCCCAAATGCCTTCTTTACTTCCTCCAAGTAAAGGACGTGATCCCAGAGGATACCTTTACTCAGTCAGGTCTACAATTCTAAGAACATCACACACAGATGAAATTCCTGGGTGTCACTATTTGTTTCATCCAATCTCTGCTTAGATTATGAGCTGGGATATCTATTTTCATCTTGGAAGCTAAAGCCCATCTTGTAAAGCTAACTCTCGTTTTGTGTATTTGCCACATATTTGAGGATCTTTGTTTCTTATATTTTCTTTTGTTATAACTTTTATTAAAATTGTTGAGAATTTTGTGTTTTGTAATATATTTTCACCCTTCACCTTGCCAGATTTTTTTCCTACCCTTCTCAACCCTCCCTCTTCCTTAAAGTTCTTATCTCACACTTATGTCTTTTGTTTTGCATTGTGACTCACCAAGTATAAACAGGGCTTTCTATGTGACCATGTGTTTAGAACCGTCCATAGTACTCACAGGTGGATGCATAGTTAAAGACAGTGGCTGTTTTTTCTCAAGAATCCTTCAGTAGCCAATTAGTTTAACAAAGAAGGATAGGGCCCTAATTCTGTGGTTGACTATTGAAAGACCTAGTCTTTTGCAGGCCCAGTGGAGGCAATCTTGGTTGCTGAAAAATTGCAATAATTCTGTCATACACAAAAGACATTATTGGTGTTAAATCCCTTCAAAATGCATTGGAAGCAGACCATATTATAAGAATGAGGATCTCCAAGGAAGGACTGCTGTAGAGACTGAAGTCTTAGACCCAACCTTAAAGTACAGTTCTGCTCCTATAGAATATCTAGCTTCATAGGTTGAGCATACTCTCTAACCCTGTTAAAACTTGAGTTATGTGACTTAAGTATTAATCAAGTATTTCATGCAAATAACAATATTATTTTCTTAGCCACACAAATTTATTCAAAATTTATAACAGCATAATTGGTAAGATACATAAAAGCCCCTGAAGAAAAATAATCTTTGGTGTGAAAAGAAATAGAGTAAGAAAATCATTATTAAGTTAGCATTTTTTTATTGAAAAGAATAATACCCAGGAAACTATGAAAACATGTTCAACTACTAAGAGGACAGAAGTTGCCACAAACACTGAGATAATTTAGAAAAGGCAAAGAAAGATTATTATTTTAAGAAAAAGGAAAATTTGTGTCTATGTGTTTGCGTACATAAGTGTGTATCTTTATTTGAGTGGCTTTAGTTGTCTAAAACTTTAAAAAAAAACTACAGTACACCAGGTGGTTTAAATCTACAGAAATTTGTTGTTTTATAATCTGGAGAGCATAAATCCCAAACCAAAGTGTTAAAAAAGATCGTATGTACCCTGTAAGATGTTCTTTGTAAAATTTTTAATTAGCATAAAGATATTAGTTTTATTATGGCACTTACAGACGAGTTTTTAACAGAATCCTCTTCTCCTCACTCCTCCACCCTCTTGGACATTTCCACCCCAGTAATCTCATCTTTGTTTCTATGTCACAAATGTTTATAGTGCTCCGCATCATGCTCAATATTCTTTTCTCCTCTCATTGTCCCATTTCCAGTTTGATGGCCTACACACACACACACACACACACACACACACACACACACACACAAATCTACGACCCACCTATGAAAGAGAACATACAGTATTTGCTATTTGAGTCTATCTTATTTCATACTTAACATAATGTTCTCCAGTTGCATTAATTTTACTGTAAATGTCAGGTTCTTTTAAGTATCCAATTATGCTTTCTGTGAATTGTGATAATCTGACTTCTTCCTTTCATATTTTTATCCCCTTTGTATTTTTTCTTGTCTTACTCCTCTAGCTAAGACATCAAGAAATATATTGAATTAAGAGAGGAAATAAAATGGATATCTGAAGTAGGTGGAGGAGGGAACTGTTTGGGAGAGGGGGTGGGGAGGTTAATGGGGGGAGAGAAGAGCTGGGGTAGGGATAGGAGAATGGAAATCAGTGTGGGGGTCCATCTCTGAGGAAGGGGAGGCTTCCAGCAATCTATGGGGCTAACCCTAGTTGTGACTCCTAGTAGCAGGGGTTAAGGAGCCTGAAGTTGCCATCTTCTGTAGCCAGGTGGGACTTCCAATAAAAGAGGGGGCCACCACCCATAAAACCTTCGACCCCAAACTTGTCTTACCTACAGAAAGTGTTGGGATTAAGATCAAGTGGAGATTCAGGGAATAGCAAACTAATGACTGGCCCAACTTGTGACCCACCCCATGGGAGAGAGCCAGCCTCTTGTCACTATTAATGATACTCTGCTATGCTTGAGAAGAGCCTAGCATAACTGTCTTCTGAGAGGCTTCATCCAGCAGAGGATGGAACCAGATGCAAAGAGACCCATAGCCAAACAATAGGCTGAGTTTGGGGAGTTTTGTAGAAGAGTAGGGGGAAGGATTGTGGCAGCCAGAAGGGTCAAGGACATCACAAGAATATCTACAGAGTAAAATTAACCTGGGTGCATGGGGGCTCATAGAGACTGAACCATCAACCAAAGAGTATGCATGGGCTGGACCTAGGCCCCCAGCACATATGCAGAATGATCAAAAACATATGAGCCCCATAACAATGAGAGTGGGGGCTGTCACTGACTCTGTTTCCTGCCTTTGGATCCCTTTCCCTTAGCTGGGCTGCCTTGTAAAGCCACAGTGGGAGAGGATGCACTTAGTCCTACTGCTACTTGAGGTGCCAGGGTGGATTGGTGGCCCCAACCCCAAGCCCTTACTCCAGTTCTCTGAGAAGGAGAAAGAGGGATGAGGGGAGGGGTGCATGAGTTTGGGGCTAGGAAAAGAGGGAGGAGTCTGGAATCAGGCTGTAAAGCGATTAAATTAAAAAAAAAGAATGGAGAGAGTGGACACCCTGTGTCCATCAAAACTTTAGAGGGAATATATTCTGTCTAAAGGATCTATCAGATGGAAAGAAGAGAGAAAGCAGAAAGCTAGGATGAGGGTGTGGTGGTGCTTAACCAAGGAGGATGGTGCAGACTCTCCCTGGTAACAGGGAAGGGAGAAATCCAACCTCCAGACGCTGATGCCACTTGTGGGTCGTCAGATTGGCAAGGATCTGGATGAGTGACAGGTGAGGCAGGACTTGTGCACTCGCGCGGCAGGGGCCGGGGCGGGGCCTTCTGTCGCACTGGCCGCTGCGGCTGGGAAGAGAGCCTTGCAGTGACGCGGGCCCCTCACGTGACCCGGAGCTGCAGAAAGACGCCTTGGGTACAGTCGTCATTCACGTCTGGCCTCCAGGTCCGTGCGTCCCTGTTCTCGGCGGGCTGGCATCGGGCCCTGGGCGAACGGAGCAGGTAAGCGGCCTGCCCGAGTGCAGCGGCCCTGAGGGTGACACCCCCGCCCCCCCCCCCCATAGATCGGCGCTCACTGGAGGATTGTGCAGCGCCCCGTAGCTTTCTACACCGCAGAGAGAACCTGGCTGCGCTCGGGTAGGGGCGGCAAAGTGGGCCTGCGGTGGAGAGCATGGGACCTAGCCCTGGAGAGCGGGGAAGGAGACAGGCTGGTGGCTGAGGGAGGCCAGGTACGGGGTAGGCAGTGGGATGCAAGGGTTTGGGGGTATGGTGCTGATCTCCGCGATGAGTCGCTCCCATACTACCCTGTCTGCAGGTCTACTAGCCGAGATTCCAGGCGACTCTTCTAGCAGCGGGAATTGAAAAGAGGACTACTTGACAAGGGATAGGCCCAGGTTGGTTCAGGGGCAGAGTGGGGGGCGGGTGGAGAATGTGGAAAGCGCTGTCTGGGACGTCAGCCCTCTCCCCCCACGCCATTCTCCCACCGTCCATCCCTTTCCACTTTCCATTCCATTCCCCCTATTCTATCTCCCAATTCCCCCTCCAGCACCCACCATTGCCACAGCTCCCATCCTCCATTTTGATGCCTGTAAAAGCCTTGAAGATAGATCTGCAGGGAAAATGGTGGGTTGTGGGGAGGGAGGGTCTGGAACTAGGTGCCCTCTAGAGGGCGTGTTGCACCTTTCAGATTGGAAAATAAAATTTGAAAAACAAAGTAAACATAGGGACAACCAAGATAGTGAAGGGCAGAAGTGGACCTCTGTCCTCGGTGCTGAACCTTTCAGCAATTCTCTTATCTTCCAGGAGCAATGGAGTCCAAAGATCAAGGAGTCAAAAATCTCAACATGGAAAATGACCATCAGGAAAAGGAGAAAAACGAAGAAAAGCCACAAGATGCTAGCAAAAGGGCGCCAGCTGTGGCCCTGACTTTCGAAGCTGGCGAATATAGTGTGCCTAGAGGCAGTCGCAGGTGGTTCCGAGTTAGGCCGCCCATCGTGCACTATAGATGGGACCTGATGCATAGGGTTGGAGAGCCCCAGGAAAGGATGAGAGAGGGTAATGCGGAAAGGTTTGGGGAGGACGTGAGAAGGCAGCTCATGGAGAAGTTAAGGGGAAGGCAGCTGAGCCATAGTCAGCAGGCGGTTAGCACTGACCCGCCTCACCATGGCCATCATGATGAGTTTTGCCTTATGCCCTGAGTCCTGAGGTTTTTTTCTCAAGTTAATAGGGGGACTCCTGCTTCCAAAACTTACATTTTGTGATGTACTGCTGTAAAATTTTTGAGGTTACTTATTCCCCCATGGGTCTCCACTTCTGCCATCTTTTAATTGAAACCTGTGTTTTTGGATCAGTCTTTTGTTGTTATTAGCAGAATTTATCTATGCTCATTATATATTGTGAAGCTAATAAAGCAGACTTAAAAAGCAATCTTAGTATTTTTTAAAGGCTGCTTACATATGCCATACACAAACGGAAAAACGGTTGAATTAAATTGTAAAATGATTAATATTGGGATGCATTTCTGTCAAAGTAAGACAGACAAACATAGGAGAGATTTTAGTAACTGGGCTGTCTACCTTCTCCCGTTTGGTTTTGGTTATAGACATCTTCCCATGGTATAATAATACACTTTGCAACCTGTTCTTTTGACCTGGGTGTCATATATGCACACCCCTCACCAAACAATGTAGCAGGCAATCTGGAACCCACTCACTTCCTCACTTGGGTCATGCTACACATACTCTCATCATTGAGCAAAAATTAATATGTTTTCCCACCCATCCCTGGTAACAATCGTATTTAAACTGTTGCTATTCAAGTGAATTCCCAAGATATCTGGGGGTGGAGAATAGAATGGCTGATCAATCTTGCTTATACTTGTTTTAGGTACATGTACATTAAGACAAAAATTTTAAGGATAACACCTTATCTACCATTGTTTGCCTTGCATAAGTGGGCATGGCTATTATTAAAATTGGATTCATTAAGGGAAGGGACATGTGCATTAAGAAAGAATGAGTGTATGACTGGATCTGTCAATCAAAATTAGAGAATCACCCAAACTCTGTCTCAAAGTAACCTCTGTTTTTAATTTCTTTTTTTAATTTTTAAATAATTTTATACATTCACTTTTATCCCAGCTGTAGCCCACTCCCTCTTTCCCTGCCATTCCTCCCCTCCCTCCCTCATCTCCTCCCTGCCCCCTTCCAAGTCCCTGAGGGGGGGTGTCCTTCTCTCCTTCTGTCTGGCCCTAGCTTATCAGGTATCTTCAGGATGGTTGCAACGTCCTTATCCGTGGCCTAGCAAGGCTGCTCCTCCCTCAGGGAGGAGGGGAAGCACATGAGTTCATGTCAGAAACAATTCCTGTTCCTCTTACTAGGGAACCCACTTGGATACTGAGCTACCATCGGCTATGTCTGAGCAGGGGTTGTAGGTTATATCCATGCATTGTCCTTGGTTGGATAAACAGTCTTATAGAAGACCCCCCACAGTAACCTTTTAAGTCCCATAAAAGTAAACCCTGAATTACAGTGGGATCCTTGAATGTTTTCATTCATGTGGTTTGCTGTGAATTTTGACAGTGTATCCATTTATAACCTACACTATTGTTTTGATTTAAACAAAATTCATCTTGCTACTTTTCAATTATTTGGTTAAGAGACCTGGGTCCTGAAAACACTTTGCCCAGACCCTGACCACCATACCACATTAGGGTATGATAAGATCATACCACATTAGGGTATGATCTTACACTTTTCATCCGTGTTATAAAGACCTGACATGAACAACTCAAACGGTGAAAGGATTTAATATGGTTTCTGGTTGTAAATATTTTAGCTTATCATTGTGGAGACGATATTGTATATCAGGCTAGATAACACCATTGTAGCCAGGAGTGGGGGAAAGGGAGAGAAAATAAACACCACTGCTTTTCTGCCTCCATTCCATCTCTGACCACAGCCAATGGGGTCCTCCTTAAGGGTGAGACTTCCCTGTCATTCTCACCTTCTTAGAAACAGAGGTTTATTTTAATAACCCTCTATGCACTTCTAAATCCAATCAATTTGTTGTGAGAAGAACAAATGAACATTTTGTTGATTTGATTTATTTTTTTTAAATTTTTATTAATTACACTTTATTCACTTTGTAGTCCCCCTGTAGCTCCCTCCCTCTTCTTCTCCCAATCCCTTCCTCCCTCCCCCTTCTCCATGCATGCCCCTCCCCAAGTCCACTGATAGGGGAGGTCTTCCTTTCCTTCCTTCTGATCCTAGTCTATCAGGTCTCATCAGGAATGGCTGCATTGCCTTACTCTGTGGCCTGGTAAAGCTGCTCTCCCCTCAGGGGGAGGAGATCAAAGAGCAGGCCAATCAGTTCATGTCAGAGACAGTTCCTGTCCCCATTACTATGGAACCCACTTGGACACTGAACTGCCATAGGCTACATCTGTGCAGGGGTTCTAGGTTATCTCCATGAATGGTCCTTGGTTGGAGTTTCAGTCTCAGAAAAGACTCCTGTGCCCAGATTTTTTTGTTTTACATATAGTATAGGATAAACCTACTAAAATCTGTACACCTAAAGACACTAATCAAGAGGTAGGACTCTGGCTAAAATGCTCAATCCCCTTCCAAAAAGGCAAAGAGGTTGGACATCAGAAGAAGGAGAAAACAGGGAACAAGTCAGGAGCCTGACACAGAGGACCTCTGAAAAGCTCTGCCCTGCAGACTATCAAAGCGGATGCTGAGACTTGTGGTCAACCTTTGGGCAGAATGCAGGGAATCTTATGAAAGAAGTGGGAAATAGTAAAACCTAGAGAGTACAGGAACTCCACAAGGAGAACAATAGAGCTTTCCTTTTTAACAAGCAACTTTGGTGATTCTTCTGCATACTAACGTCTAAAAGATTACGGATATATATATACTTATTATGTCCATTTTAAGTAGGAACTATAAATTAACTTCTAGTGCTTTGCTGTGGCTCATACAGTGATTAAAAATAATATATGCATTGCAATCACCTCAATTTTTCCTACAAACCCATAGTTCTTGCTATCATTGTTCTAGCACTGCCTGACTAGATGCAGACACAATTTTTCCATTTCAAATCTATATTTGTGAAAATACTACCTTAGTTAGAATTTCTACAATATGTGATAGAACACCATGACCAAACATACCTTGAGGAGGAAAGATTTTATAAGTCCATCCCTGACTGAAGCCACATCACTCAGGGCAGGAACCCGAAGGTAAAAACTGATGGACAGGCCATGGAAGTGTGTTGCTTACTGGCTTGTTCTCTATGGTTTACTCATATTGCTCTCTTTGTACCCTAGGACGTCCTAACCAGAAGTGGTACCTCAGACAATAGACTGTAAAATGTTTGGCTTGGACTACATCTGATTGCAACTTTGTAAAAGATCTTGAGGCATAGGACTCAGATATGTCAGATATGTCCTAAGCTTCTGATGTATAATTGTTGGGATCATAAAATCATAATGTTTCATATGTTACTTTTGGAATTAATTTGATATATAACATTAAACAAAACATGTATTTATTTTTATGAATGTGTAAAAGTAGGGGTTATATATGTCTATGTGTGTGAGCAGGTTGTGCACATGTATGCATGCATGGTTGTGGAGACCAGAGGACAATCTTAAGTTTTGTTCTTCAGGTACTGTCTACCTTTTTATTCTTAATTTTATTTAACTATTTTATTTGTATGGGTGTTTTTACTGCATATATGTCGGTTCACTATGTCTGTGCCTGGTCCTGAGGAGGCCAAAAGATGGAACCAACTCCCCTAGACATGAAATAATAGACAGTTGTTGACTGTTTGTGGGTGTTGAGAATTGAACTCAGGTTCTCCAAAAGAACAGCCAGTATTCAATTTTTAATTAAAATTTTTATTTTTTTATAATAATTACTGTTTATTCACTTTGTATCCCAGCTATAGCCCCTCCCTCTTCCCCTTTCAATCCCACCCTCTCTCCCTCATCTCCTCCTATGCCTCTCTCCAAGTCCACAGATAGGGGAGGTCCTCTTCCCCTTCCGTCTGATCCTAGCCTATCAGGTCTCATCAGAACTGGCTGCATTGTCCTTCTCTGTGGCCTGGCAAGGCTGCTCCCACACCAGGGGGAGGTCAAAGAGCTAGCCACTGAGTTCATGTTAGAGACAGTCCCTGTTCCCCTTACTAGGGTACCCACTTGGATACTGAGCTGCCATGGGTTACATCTGAGCAGGGGTTCTAGGTTATATCCATGAATGGTCCTTGGTTGGAGTATCAGTCTCACAAAAGACCCCTGTGCCCAGATATTTTGGTTCTGTTGCTCTCCTTGTGGAGCTTCTGTCCTCTCCAGCTCTTACTATCTCCCTTCTTTCCTAAGATTCCCTGCACTCTGCCCAAAGTTTGTTTATAGATCTCAGTATCTGCTTTGTTACACTGCTGGGTACTAGACATATAATATAGGATAAACATACTAAAATCTATAGACATATAATATAGGATAAACATACACCTAAAGAAGCTAAGCAAGAAGGAGGACCCAGGGTAAGATGATCAATCCTTACTCAGAAAGGCAAAAGGGACCGACATTGGAAGAAGAAGAAGAAGAAAACAGGAAACAGTACAGGAGCCTACCACATAGGACATCTGAAAGACTCCAGCCAGCATTCCTAACTACTGAGCTATCTATCCTGCTCCTAACATTTTCATTTTTAGGTTAGGGTCTCTTGATGACTTAAAATCATCAAATAGACTAGGCTGGCTGCTCAGTAAGCCCCAGGGATTCACCCATCTCTACCTTCTCAGTGCTAGGTTTACAAGCACTTGACACCTTGTTGAACTTCCATGTTTCATAAATCATTGGTTCTGAGGATAAAACTAAGGTCCCAATTATCGCAAGGCAATCTTTCCAGCTAGAGCAGAATGTTGGTTATTTTTTAAAAAAATAAAATAACTAGAAAAAATGCTGCACATTAAAATGAACAATGTCCAGTCAGTATTACAATTTTCATTAGTCTCACAAATTTTAACCCCAAACTTCATATATTAATAAAAAATAAATTGTATGTCTAAGGAATACTTTTTTGCTGTATCATGTTGCAAAAAAAGCAGAGGCAGCTTATGTAACTATTTCTACTAATTCACAACTTTTTATACAAAATAGCATACTTGAAAAAGCAGCCTTATATTAAATTCAGGCCTCGTGGTACCACTTTGAAAGTTTTGCAAATGCTAGGAGAAAAGCCAATCTATTATATGCAATTAAAAACAAGGATATACTGAGGGTCAATGAGGGGTTTCACATATATCATAGTAATTCAAACATTCATTTGATAACATGATATCTGCATTTTGCACAGGTTTGGTAAAATAGTTGTATCTAAATAGCTTTCTCAAAGTAACCTGTTTATCTCTAGAAGAAGAAA